CTACTCACGTCACAATCAGTCACATCTACGTCTCCTCCCTCTTCTCCATTCAAACACCACGATAACACAGATGATTACTAAATGTTTGAATCAATCAGAAGTATAGTTATTCTATCTCATTCTCGTGTGTGTGTGTGTGTGTGCGTGTACGTGTACGCACAGATTGCCATCCCTACCATTCACATAAACAGAGCTGGTTGGGCATAAAGGTTGGGTTCAGCCTTAGCTCCGGGTCATGAAACACAATGATGTTGACACAATTTCCCCTGTGGCAAAAATAATCTATACCAATTTGTCCCTTTCTTTTTTTGGACATCCATTTCACTGTGGCTCCCTGTTGACAGAGACACGTCTAGCGTGTTTTAACAAGCTGACATGTTGTCTCTACAGTAGAAAATAGAAATCAATGCAGGACAGAGAAGTGGAGAGTGATTTTGATTTCCACAGATTTTCTTTTTTTTTTTTAGTTATTGAGTCATATTTCTCACTCCTACAGTAAACGTTACATTTTTTGTTTGTATTAAATAGTGAAAAGGTTCATCAATCGATCCATTAGTTTGTCGACAGAATGAGAATTGTCAATCACTTTTGAAAAATAATTGATTCATTTTAAAATGTATTTCTCACAACATTCCCTTGTTCTAGCCTCTGGGTGTTGGCCTAATAAACGAGCAATTATTTATACATTTATATAATGATGATGATGATGATGATGATGATGATGACAAAAATACATTTTATTGGGATTTTTTTTTTTTTTTCAATTTACAGACCAAACAATTCATCCATTAATTGAGAACATAATTGCCATGTTAATTGTTAATTAGGGTTTTGTGTTTAATCTACGGGAAAGTTTATTTTTTATTTTTACCACCTTCTACAATTTTAAAAACACTATTACATTTGAAAGCCAGATTTAAGGCACACAGAAACACAATTTTACACAAGGTCAATATTGCAAAAACTATCTCAACCAAAACAAAATAAAGCTCCGACATCAGCGTCCCAAAAGTCTTCATCTGAGTTGTGACTTAATGAGATTAGTCTGCTGTGAACTGTGTTGACCAGTTTCTGGTGCTGAAGGTTGATAACTGGTGACCTGGATTCTCTGAAGCCCTGAGATCCCCCCCCC